AAAAAAAAAGTCAAAATGGATGCTTCTCTTTTCCTTCTGGATTACCGTACTTGCATATTACCCCCAGATTCTCCTAATATTCCTGTGGAAATCGAAGCTGGTGTATGCTGTAACACGAATCTGTAGGAGTCAATGAGACGATGCATCGCTTCGACGGAGAAACCCAAATCCAGGAATTTATCTTGATAACAAGTAACAGTGCCAGTGGGGTTGGCGATTTTGGTCAATGAGGTCTACCTCGCCACAGCACAGCTGCCTTGGCATTGGCACGGCATTGAAACTTGGACGGACCCATTGCAAATCTAGAAGGTGGCGCTGGCCTCTGGCATTGACTTGGGAGTTTTGCAACGTTTCTGCGCGCACTTAGAGGAGAGGAGGGAGGAGGCATGGCACGCGCACGAGGGATCGTAGGAGCCGTTGTGCTTGTCCTTACTGCTGCCTTCATCGAAGGTTAGGATGCCGGAAATGAGAGCGGGATTTAGGACCTTTGCAAGGCGCTTTGGGTCCTTTGGGTCATTGAACATTGGGCAGATATGCAAGGCAGCATCTTCGCAGTCAGACAAAGTATCTGATTATCCACCCGTCCACTTCACGACCATCATGTTGTAATACGCTTTTGTCAGTCCCACCTAAGCTTCTTCATTCTTGCAGCATTTCTCTCTTGCTGTTTACCCTGATTATGGTCAGGAAGTCCGCATTGTGACATCCCGAGTTAGATCGAAGGGAGAAGTAGCTACCCGCAAATTTCCAGGAAGGATATTGACTTTGCAATAAATGCATAAATGCCCTCTTGTTGCCATCACTTAGGAAAGAATGTTTGGTCAGGTGCAGACTTGGCCAGTTTCGATGAGGTCGCGCCATGTTAAAAACCGTACCGCCAAGGGAATTCGCACCATCTTTGGTGTGAAAACTTAATTTCGTTCATCCTGAGGATTCACCCGGCGCCGTGAAATGGTTTTTTACATTTCACACAAGAGCTTTTTTCGATTTTTCTACACTGGAAGTCACCAAAATGACCAATGTCTTGAATATTTCATGGTTTCACCTTTTCGCACTCGGGGTCCGACTTAGTTTTCAAATTGCACACCTTCCCCAAAATAATCATTTTTGGGTGAATCCCTTGGCGGTACGGAACCTCAAAGGAGGGCCGTAATCACCATCCTTTCTTATCCTGTCAAGTTGTACGAATTCAGAAAGGTCGCGAACACACACTTTTTCCCGTTGGTTGTCCGTTTGTGGTGCCTGAATGGTATGGGGGGAGACTCTTTCGATGGAATGGCATTATGCAATTGGGACTTGGCGCCTGATTGGGGCTGGTCCTGCGCAGGTATTGTGGGTGACCACCCCCTCCTGGTGACCAACTGTGAGGAGCTGAGGCAGGCCGTGGGCGCCGCAAGGGCACCCACTGATGGGACGCACCCCACAGTCATCCTCACAAACAGCCTCAGCTGCAGGCAAGTGGACTCTTTGGCGGACCAAGATATTACAGCATTGAGATGGTTGAACAGAAGTTGCTTTTATCGGTGAAGAGCCAAGCGGCAGCGAGTATGCACCCTCACAACCTGATTTCACGGAGGACAGCGTGGCTAGGTTGGGCTAGTTTGACGCACTTGCCCACCAGATGTCTGAAATCAGGCATGTCGGAAAGCATCAGCAAGCCCCTCCACTGCTATGCTGATTGATCCCCCCGGTCTACGTTCAGCAACGTGCACGTTGAGTACCCGCTCACGCTGCTGGGGGGGGCGAGCTCGTCTGGAGAAGCAATCACGCTGTCGCGGCGGACTATTGACCACCCCACTCTCATCATCATCTCCAAGGACGTCACCCTGCGGAGCATACTCTTCAAGGATGCAGGAGGGGTGGTAAGGCAGGCAGAGCCCCTGGCCCGTAGATGTTGTTTCTAAGCTCTCTCGAATGCATTTTGCCAGAACACGCGGATTTGCTCAAGGTGACAGTCAGTCTGTACACTTGGTTGCATATTGTAGATTGTGAAGGCTGCGCTGTTCCTTTTTCCATGGACAGTCCCACCATGTTTTAAACAAAGAAAAGCAGTGACGCTTGAAGCTGGCCCATCAGCACTGTCTGTGTGCTCCAGCACAAAAGTCTGAGCAGAGACTTTGGGTCATCATTGAGTCAAGGCGACTTCCCTCCTGACCCGTCAAACAATGGCCACAGGGTGGTGGGGCGGTGCTGCTATCCAAGAACGCCAGCGCTGCCATCCATGACGTGACCTTCCAGAACAGCGCCTTTGGGGTGAGTGCTCCGCTATGTGCGTGATGCTTACCCTTGTTTTGGGAGGGTGCACTTGTTTCCCCAGATTTCATACAGGCCGTCTATTGACCTTTCAGCTCCACAACTCTGTCCTGTTTCCTGGAAATCTTGAAAGTCCTTTTCTGTAATCTGGAGACTGGAGAATGGAGCTACTTACTGATACCTTGCCTAAATCGCCTTTGCTGCCAGATCTGGCCTGCGCTAACCATTGAGGGGAAGGCCGAGGTGACGAATGTCCTCTTTGAGGACTGTCACTCCAGCGTGAGTATCGATTGCCCTGTTTTCTTCTTTGGTATGCAAACGGTAGGAAGCTACTTTGTGGGGACTTTGTGTATCTGGACGACTCGAAACTCGAGCCGGCAACATATAATAGACCTTGGAGAGACCAACTGAATTCAGGCTCAGTTCAGTGTTAGTGGCGCATTCGTGTCCTGTTCCAAATGACGCCTTTATTCAACCAGACGTTTTGGCAACTTGAGACACTGCTTTCCCTGAGCCCAGCGATCCACTCTGCGGAAGTGTCGCTTCACTGAGTTTGGAGTTCGATAACACCTGTAACGTGCAATATCCTGCCCGTTCGAGATTCGACATGTAAGCAGTCGTCGACGCTCTTTAGAAAACATATCTAGCCGAAACAGAAGCACAGAACGATCAAGCAAAGTTGCGGTAGATGAATAACGAAGACTAAATACTAGGATGTACCCACCTCAATCACTGTCCAGGTTTCAGTGTATCACCCTTTCCCTGACGCCCGTCCTCTCTTTGTGATGCAGGGCGCGGGGGGCGGAGCAGCAGTGCGTTCTTCGGGGTACGCCCGCTTCAAGGACTGCACCTTCGCCAGGAGCGCCGCCAATGTGAGAGGCACGCGTTGAATATTACGATCAGATCTTGCAAAGTACGCCAGCTTCCAGCACTTGGATTTAGCGATGTGGCGGGTCTCAACGCAAATCTGCAGTATAAATGCCATGTACTTATGTTGGAGCTTCTCTCTGAATTGGCTGGGCTAGACTTTCCAACTAGATTCCCTCCTTGTATACCGCACGCTCAATGCACTTCTTTCGCCAAGGCTCCTGTTTGAACACGGAGACTTCTTACCATCACTCGCAGCTCAGGAGGGGGAGGTCCCAGTATCAGCTGCATGTGATCAGAGACCACACTAATGCTTCAAAGTTTCGTGCAAGCAACCATCAGCACAGCAATGTACATCCTCATTCTGTCAGCCTGTCATGTGCTGACGTGGCGCGTCGTGCAGATGGGAGCTGGGGTGGCCGTGGACGGGTTGGCGCATTTCTGCTCGACGTCCTTCGACGAGAACAAGGCCAAAGTGAGGCCAGCCGCCAGCTCCCAGGAGTTTCGTCCATACGGGGATGCTGTCCTTCGCAGCGCCCAGCTCCTTGTCAATGAAGTTCTCGGCCTGTTTGTTGCTGTCGCGCTCCGTTCCTCGAAGCAATAGCCGTGCATTTGGCTGCGTACTAATCAGCTGTCGTGTTGGTCGCAGCATGGCGCGAACGTGTGGGTGCGCGGCGACGAGCATGACGCAGGGGCCAAAGCATCCTTCTGCTCGGACGCGGCAGGGAGAGGGGCCAGAGCTGCCCCGCTCTTTGGGGGGGCGTCAATTGCGGTGAGGGCACCAACAGCCGTGGACTTGTTCTTTGCGTCCAGCGTTGTTTTCACATGTACATCTCGACAATGTAATCGGAAGGTCGATTTGTGCGACGACTCTCTTCGGCTTGCCTGATGTCGCTTCTGCTGCGGACACACAAGGACAAATTCGATTCCCTGGTGGCCAGCCTGACGTGTGTGCCCCACTGTCCAGGGCGTCGAGAGCGAGTCGGAGCGGGGCCACATCACACGAGGTGCGCAGGACTGCCTTTTCAGTCACCGCAGCATCGGTTGCCTCTCTCAAAATTGCCGGTTCGAAATAGCAGGATCTGCCACTTGTTTGGTTGTTCTTCCAGCGGACAGTTCCCTGGCTGTCACCAGCCCGCCTTTTATGATGTCATGCAGCTTCGCCGTATCAATCATTGTCAATGACCTGTTGACGGCTTGCAATCTTTCCACAGATTCGTGCGACGCGTGCGCGGAGCCGTTCGTGAAGAGCTTGGCGCTGTTCGAGAGCCGGCGGCGCGCGCGGGTGCCGCTGCTGGCGTTCCTGAGCCAGGCGCACCTGACGGACCACGAGCTGGGCCGCAAGGCCATCCGGCCCGAGGACGACGCCATCTCAGCACTGGAGTGCGGGCCAGGCAGCTTTGCGCTCGACGGGGTGTGCGAGCCAGGTGCGAATTTTCAGGTTTTGGGGTTATGGGGATTTGGTTTAAAGGGTTTTTGGCAGCGCAGAACACCTGGTGTGCCTGGAAGAACCAAGCGCTTTTGTGGTAGAACTCATTCGGGGCGGGGGCTGGAGGAAGGTCGATGAGTGCGCGCTTCTGCAGCAACAAGGTGGCGCTGAGCATGTTCCCAATTTCTAGCAGATGTGTCCGCTTTGCGATGTTCACGTCATCTCGGTTGTGTCTGGTGTAGGAGTGAAGTTTACTATCAAAGCGTCGCCTGCTCGAGTGCCGTAAACCAGATTGAAAATCTGCAGCCGAATGAGCTGGCGCTTCCTTCAAGGCCTGCTTGTCCCCTAATAACCTCCGCTCTCCTCGTTTGTCGCAGACTGCCTGCCCCAGACCGTGACGGAGAGCGAGGACACGTGGCGTCTTCTGGACCTGGCGGGCGGCGCGCAGCCGTCGTACACCGTCCGCTTCGAGAACACGTGCGGCAAGACGCTCGAGGCGATTGCGTTTGACTGCGACGGCTTCCCGGGCACCGCCTGGGGCCTCGAGCGCCACGGCCGCTTCTGCGTCCTCACCGGCCACGACGACGTCCTAGCAGGTGCCACATGGCCACGACTCCGTGCTTCCACGTCTCAGCCGTCCATGTTTGTGCGGTCCTGCAGGCGTTTGCTGTGTATCTTCGTCCTTATGAAGCCCAGCAGCACATTGGATTGGATTATTCCTCGCCCTGTCTTGATCCCTCGCCTCGTTCTTTCTCTCTGTTGAGCCGCCCCGGTTTGCTTCGTTCGTACTGTCCCCTTCAGCGTCTCTTCTACCTCACAGCCACATTGCAGGAAGAGTCCAGGTATCCGGCCTGGACGCCGTTCTTTCCCCAGGTCGCGCCGATACTTACCAGCTTTTTGAAGATAGGACACAGCTGTACTCTGAATGTGGGCCGCATTCAGCAGAGGCGCACTTCTTAGCAGTTTCAACCATATTGCTGCTATTCTCGTTCCTGTGGGCATATGTGGCTTTACCTGCGAAGCACATTACCACAACATAACTCACAGTATTCACTGCACTTACTGCACACATCCCCACCGCCCCACTCACCCACACGCTCACGGGCCCCGGTTGCTTGCCCCGGCCTCCAGGTCACACTCACGAGTTCCACTACACTTCCGCTGCCCCCTTCACGTTCCGCCCGCACAGCGCCCACACGCAGCACTCGACGCTCGTCAAGAGCGGCCGCGACGGCATCGAGGTGGTCAGCCGGGTGATCCAGACCTGGCGCAAGGCCGACTCGCAAGAGCTGCTGTCGCGGGTCGAGGTGACGGTGAACAATTTGTCGGGGGAGAAGGTCTCGCAAGTGGCACTCGACTGCCACGCGTTCGAGCCCGAGTGGTCGATCGACGTAGATAGGAAGGACGGGCGGTGCTTGGTACCGCGCGTGTTGAACCATAACGAGACGCACCGCTTTGAATACATCACGGAGGGGGTACGTGCGCATGACGTCAGCATTGCGGAGGTGCGGGGCTCGTACGGGGAGGTTGTGAAGGGGGCGGGCGTGGCGGGGGGCATGTACACCACGGTCGGGGCCATGTGCATGCTCGTGCTCGTGGCGAGCGCGTCTGTTGGCTGGTATGCGTTTGGGCCCAACAAGGACCGGAGGGCCGAGGTCTACACACGGATCCTGACACGGGAGAAGACTTTCAAGTTGGCCCAGACATAACGGATGTCAATGTGGAACGAATGGATTCCAGAGCGCTAACAACCTTCTGAAGTAAGGGTAGTAAGGCCCACACGACGGCTCGCTGGACATGCGGTGCGGCTTGACTGTCCATTGGAAAAAGGTAGCTGCGTCTAAGTTTTGGACCCGAGGTAGTACAAACGTATCTCTGGCAGGCGTCATGGATCATTCAAGAAAGCAACCATGCACGACGAATTTCAAACTCGGCCATCATTCATACCTATGAATTTCACTGAGCAAGTCCTTTTTCGAGCCCATGCGCTGGCACATGATGAATCGAGGCTTTACTATATATTGTGTACGTCGTTGCTGGCGGCGGCTATCGAGGGAGTCGGCCTCAGCAACGTGGTGATGAACGCCATATTGCCGACCTGACCTACAACCGCTTCCGCAAGGGCAAGGACAAGGAGTAGTCACCTAGTCGGAGCGCTCAGATGTATCGGGCCAACTCGGATGTAATAATTCGGACGTGAGTCCGGGTACTAAGCGTAGTCTCGTAGTCTCATTCGAGTCCGTTGCATACAAACATTATGTGCTCCGCACAACGCCATGATCGATTGGCACACCATAATGATTGAATTGCTGAAGCATAGATTATAACTTACAAGCGATTATATAGAGTCGACATGTAGCATATAAGGGTTTGCATATCTTGCTGGACCGTCATGTCTTGTATAGCCGTAGCAAGTGCAGCGGAATCGAAAAAAACAGGTTCCCGGCCGCACCGGAGACCGTCCGCGCGTGCTCCACGGCCATGGCGGCCGCCTATAAGGGCGTCAATAATTGGAAGTTACCGTCCATCGTTATCGTCGCTTCCGACACTGTTTTGCTGATGATAATCTATATATAATTATCATTCGTTGGTCGTCGGGATCTTGGCAATAGGCCAATCAATATATCAAGTCCAGCTATAGCTAATTCCTGCTTGCTAGACATGCATGGATTTTCGCGCGGCTGGCCGCCCGCGGCTGCACGTCCCTACAGTCGCCATGCCGTGCATGTGTACGTGCCAGTGGCCTCACATAAGGGCGGCTGCACATGGCGCGATGTTCCATTGAAGCTATAGCCGATCGAGCGCATCGCGATCTATATAAAATGCCTACATTGCATTCATAGCGCAATTAATCATGCTCGCGCATGTGTGGTCTTTTGCATTATCGTCAATATTACCGGTTGCTGCACACTTCACAATGATGTACTTCGACCTTTCGATATCTTTAATTGGTATATATCAGCATGATCCCTATTGTAAGTAATTTGACAATACATTCAGGCTCTGTTTGATAATGACAAACGTATGTTGCGTTCAGTAATAAGATAATGCGCATGAACCTTTGCAGATTGCCGCAGATCAATCGACATGTGCTAGTCCCCACGGGGCAACAGGCGGCCGCCTTTATGCGATCTCCAGGTGTCCGACTAGCTCAACTTGGTCAAAGCTTTCCGACTGGGCGGCTTGACAGTGATGTCGTTGTGGTCTCACTCATGCACTGGTGGCGATGCTCATCAAACTCAATCAGCGCTCAGCTATACTATACAAGCAGACAGATTATAAACAGACTAGGTACTTGTACAAGATTACTATACTAGTGGTCATTTACAGGCCCAGTGCACCTTTTCTGGTGCAAGCTGATCAAAACTGGGGCTCGCGACCTGCTCACCACTCCTGTCGAGATTGGCCGCAGCTTTCTCCGCCGGACTCGACGTTTCCGGTATGAACACGAAGGCGCCCGTGAGTGCCCCGGCAGGTTTCCGCTGGACTGTCCCGTCAGGCCGCATCTCGAGGAACGAGGCGGTGGCGGCGATCTTCGTTACCGGAAGGGTCAACGCAAATTCGGCTAGCTTTGTGCGCGCAAACTCGCGGCGGCGGGAGTCGGCCAGCTCAGTGTACCTGAAACGAAGAAGAAAAGTTCCTTTCTTAGGCTGAAGTTAGAATGGAATGTTGGGCCGCAAAAGCGGTGTTGCCGATTGAAAACGCGCGTGTTGTCTTGGTAGGAGCCGCCCGGCCGGAGCGAAAAGGTAGTCTGGGTGCGAATGCTGCGCCCGGGACATTTGCATTAACAACTACGAGGACCGGTTGCTGGAGCAATCAATAGGCTTCTGTTTCGGATCTGCGGAGCCTAGCCCCATACGAGATCGAGCACGCACTTTCACAGCATGTCTGATACCTTTCAGGGCACGTGCACTTCCATTACATACTTAGGTGTACTGAACTTGGGAACAAGTGGAACCAAAGATAAGGACGAAAGGCGACAGGGTGTTACCGAGAAGATGTCCACACTTGCTTCAGGTACACTCAGCTTGACAGCGTAAAGCCTCAGGGCTTGCTAGAGGATTCTTCGTTGACCTCCGAATGAACAACACGGCTCGAGACAGGTTCCACACGCAGTTGCGACGGTCAAGTGAAGTACATTTCATCGAATTCATCTTATTCGTTTCCTAGTCGAAGGACAACATAACCGCAAGCAACGACGGGCTCACTGGAAGAACGGCTCGTTAGGCTCCTCGGTCAACCGCGCGCTGACCGCCGCCAGGTACGCGTCGACCCGCTGTTGGAAGGCAGCTGCATAGTCCGCCTCAGGAATCGCCCAGTTGGCCGCAAACTCGGCCTCCGCGCTGTCTTCCGGGGCGCCCTTAGCGGCGGCGACAATGGCGGGGGCGAGGAGCGCCTCCAGGTCGCTGCTGCGCGTTGCGGCAGAGTACTGGATCTCGTCGGGCGCGTACTGCAAGTCGAGCGCAGACAGTCGGAAACAGACGCATTTTGTTGGTGAAATGTTTCAATTTTCGGTGAGCCGACTCAGAAGGGCCAGACCAACGTATGGCACGGAGTCCTTGGCTTCAGCTGCTAAGCAGCAGGTTCAGAAGCGCCGAAGCAGGCAGAGGTGAGTGTCGATCCTTTCCAAAGTCTTCAACGTCCGCAAGCGCGACTATGTATGCGGGGATGGATCCTCTCAGTTTGCAGCTGTACGGTCAAGAACTGGGGAAACTTGTATTTAGTTCACATTCACGGATTGAAATTGTTTGTCAGCAACTGGTAGTAGTCAGCCATCACTGTGCCGGTACCTGTTGAACACTGTCACTTCATCTCACGGGTTAACGAAAGCGACCGCCTAAAGCGCGTTGTTGGGAGGCAAATCCGAGTTGCCTTGAGCGCATTTCAAGAGGAGCTGTGGACGTTCTGGAACGCCGAGTCGTTGGGATGGCGCGCGCGCTTGCCAGCTTAACCGTAGTACTTCTTGATTGACCCGGATCGAGGCGGTGCCAATCAGAAGACATGCCGTACCGTTTGTGAAACCTCGACTTGTTCTGTTGAGTATCGCCTGGAAAGAATAAGTGATGAGGACGGCAAAAAAGATGTCAAAAGATATCAAGGCCCGCTCACTTGGGCGAGCCTCCGCCGGTGGTCCGAGTACACCGGGTTGGCCAAGTCCACCATCATGAGGCACGCCGCCAGGCGCTTGGTCACTATGCCCCGGTCAATCAGCTGCTGGAGGAGCACGACGTCCTCCTTGGCGGGTGCCGGCACGAAGAACGCGAAGAACGTGTCGCCCTTCTGCGCGAACGCGCCCGCCTGCAGCCGGAAGTCGTACCTGCTAGGCAAAAAAACCGGGTTATGAGATATGGGTAGACCCGCGGTTAGCGGTTTCCCTTAGGGCTGTGTACCCAAACGTCATGCGGGCTGACGGCAATTGCTCAGAGGACGCTTTGTCGATAGTCCAACATATGCTGTACTAGCACCAAAACACGTGGAAAGAATTGTTATCATCTAGGATCGTCGGAGCTCTCTGACCTCGTGCTATGCCGAGGGCAGTTCTAGGGAGCTCTCCAGGCTGTGAGGAAATCCAGTGGTCAAAGGTCAAGAATCTGTCGCAGACACCAATCTACCGCTTCCGTGAATCTGTACAAAGTCTGCCGAAGCGCTTTTCAGTTTTGAGGACCCTTGCACGGCTTGAAGGTACGCCGCCTGTGAAGCGGTAACAAGTGTCAATGGCTTCTCTTACGTCAAGGCAAAGGCAATAGCGGGTCGCCCGTGGCAACATTTTGAAAGCGCAGAAGCGCTTTGGTGAAGCGCTCACTCCGTAAGGCTGTCCTGATACTTTTGGTACGACACCCGCAGCTTCGAAGTGTCCCCCGCCACTATTCCCGCCGCCGATAGGGACTCGATGTCTAGAAAGAAGCCGGGAGGCAGGTCGTATTCGTTCTTCGTGAACCGCTGCTTGCTGCGCTCGGCGCTGCTTACGAAGTTGACTGTGGCGGTGGCAAGGATCTGCACACGTGGCAGATGAGCATCGAGTTGGTGTCATTTAGCTCTCAACGTCTGACGTTAGTGAATGACTTACGTCCAAGTCTGCTTCGACGCGACGTAACCAAGCCTGCTCTTTCGAGTTTCTCCCGAAGCACCGAAAGGAAATTGCAGTCGCCAGAGCACGAATCTGCGCATAAGGCGGATACACTGGAGTCGGCGGTGGTCAATCCGAGTTTGCCAGATGCCTATTAATGAGAATAGGAGTTGTTGACGACTGTCTTTCCGAAACCCAGTCAATCAACCGACTCTAGAACCGTCTTTCGTATCTCACTAAAGGTTCTCAAAACCAGGGTGCACCAGCAGCCCTTGTCAAAGTTTGCACCGAAGCAAGACCTGACCAGCCTTTGTTGATCACAAGAACGGAACCTGCTTCTTCATGAACCACGGCCACTTTGAATGCTTATGGCTGCGCATCACCGCCCTTGGTGCGGAACGAAGATTTCTAACAGCGTCGAAGTCCCCGTCAGGCCCTGATTGGGACGCCTAAGCTAGCACGACTGCGGGTATGTCGACCCCTCACTGGCAAGACGGAACTTGGCCAGTGCCCACCTGATTGATGAGCAGCTTCACTCCGGTGAGTTTCGCCCCTTGGACCAAAGAGTCGATGCGGGCGCTCGTGAAGCGGTCTATGGCCGGCTGGACCACCAGCGTCTGGAGCTTGTTGGCGACCTCCTGCGCACAGAACACGCCACGTCAGCATGCCCATTCCTCGGATTTATGAAGAGCAGGAGTGGTGACTCAGGGATCAACTTAATGAGAACTCGAAAGCGGATATCAATGCTGCCAACCTACCGTATCATATTAACCTGCGAAACGAACCCTGCCCTCTCTCCAAGGTAGTGACGGTACTCTTGCAAAGCTGCCGTTTTTGGGCTTACGCGTTCTGACAGTCCACCGGATCCTGCGACCTTCTAACCCCTGACACGAATTCACGTGTGTCCGCTTGACACGTGCGATTGTAGTAACTCACGCGTGCACGTTTGTTGGATAAAAAACGCTGCGTCCGCTCATATCTCAAAGTCTGGAAAATCACATTTTGGAAACAGTTGCGTGTCGTGCCTGCTCACCTTGCCCGTAAAGAGGGGGTGAGTCCGCAGGGGGTGGCTGGGCGGCAGCGCGGTCTCACTTATGCCCGCGACGGAGCTGTGCCAGTTGTTCCAGGGGGGGGTCAGCTCCTTCATCACCAGGTTGCCGTTGACGTGCCCATCGAACGGGCCCTGCAACCGGGTGGCGGGGTCGAAGGCCATGTGCGACTGCCCCGCCCAGAACCACTCCCCGTTGAGCCTGTGAGGGCAGGCCGGGGGCAAACGTCTCGATAAGGTCAAAATATGAAGCGACTTGCGGAGGCCAGCTTAGGAGAAATGCGCACCGGTTGGGTGCTTAAAGCACTTTGTACGATCGTAGCAGGTCAGAACAATCTTTGGATCATCCGAAGCGGTGCGACGAATCCACGAAGTGACGTGAGAGCTTACTTATTGGGAAATTGCGAGGATGTTTTTTACAGCATGTTGCTTTGATATGAGCCTCCCCTGCGAGCGAGACCCTCCGTCATGCCAGCAAGGCCCAGGGATGCAGCCAGCAAGAAGAGCACTCTTAATCGATCTCGATTCTCGTCTTTGAACTCGTTTCGTCCTCACTTCCTCTCCTTTACATTTTGATGGAAGCCAAATGCAGAAGCAAACGGATTTAGAAAGTGCCAAGAGCAAGTGATTCACTCGAACAAGTCCTTTCCCCCTGCTTGTCTCTATCTCACAGGTTAGCAGAGACATCTACACACAGAGGTAACGTTCGTCTTGCTTTGTCTGTCCTTCAAATGTTTGCTGCTAATCTGGTGCTCTTACAGGAAACAGCAGACTGAAGCTGCAAAAGATGAGCGTCACGATTCACCCAAGGAACCCATCATCAAAGGCCTTGGCACCTCCCCACCTTTTATAGAAGTTATATGTCCTGTTTGCAACATCCCACGACGCGCACTGCAGAAAGATTGCATCGTCCGCAAAGCCTAGCGCACTGCCCACGACCAGTATGTCGGCCTGGTCCCGGCTCCCAGTTGCGGTACGCGGGAAGCGCACCCACAGAAAGCGGAGCGCACGGTCTAGGTCTTTGGTCTCCTCAGTCCAACGCATCTGGCCCCCCTCGCCAGCCAGAAAGGTCATGAAATCGAATTTGTCGGCAGGGCTGCGGGAGGAAGCATTGCACGCTTCAGTCCAGGTGACCCTCTACAAAGTTAGAGTGAGCTCTTGAGGATGAAGAAGCTGGTCGAGCTCCATGCTGCCACTTTTGTGATGACGCAGGAGAACATGCCGAATAGGAGACTGGATTCACAGCAAGTCAGGAGATGAGAATACGGGAACAGAGCCCTTGCCCGGAGAATTTTGCTGGCATTGCTGGTCCAAAAGGGCCTTCCATTCTCTCGCTTTACAAGTCGCCTTTTTGATTGCTCATCAGTGTAGTGTATTGATTGCTAGCTTGTGACACGCGTGCAAGTGAAGCAACGTGCTCAGGGTTCTGTCTGTTTCTCTGATTGTTCCACCCCTCTTTTCACACCTGTGATGAGAAAGACTCTGCCGTTCTCGTGCGCAGCCTGGGAACTATAACAACAACGCATATGTGGGGCTAATCCTACAAAAGCATCGACAAAATCTTCGCGCTTGACAAAGACAAGGGAAGGGAGATTGAGCCACCTTGCATTGACAATGAACTCCACCGTAGTGTCCAGGTTCTGCGGCCGCTCGCTTGCTGGCACCAGTTTCAGCATCAGCGCTGCCAATGGGTCTTGCAGCCGGCTGTTGACCTCAGACTCCTGCATTGTGCGCCCTCGAGTGTCCACTCCCACAACGAACGCCTTGATTGGCTGCAGATAGCGACCATAAGGCTCAGTCCTGGCCGGCGTGTCTTTCTGGCAAGCAGATGGTTTGCCAGAAAGCTTTAAAGAGCAATCGCAATGCTCTCCGTGGGTTGTTAGCAATCAGGCATGCATTTTCCCTGTGCCCCGCCTCACGTATGAGGAGCTGCCACACACCTTGTGAGCGAGCTGAGAATCAATCAATGCAAACATGGAATCAAGCTGCATTTTTTTCTATGCAGCTGGTCAGGCTTCAGCATCTAGCCCACTCTCTGAAAACTGCGCACGTGCGCACCCGATGGAGTGGCCTGCAGGTTCTTCTCTAGAATCAAGCCAAGTACAGCTGCCAGCTGTGGCGGAGACATGCGGCCGGCACAAGCACCCAGACCCTCAAGCAACCCAGGTCACAGGATGACGCATACATGATTCCTGCGCACCTGCATTGCAGCTGCTTGCGCCCCGCCAATGCTGCCCATGTTCAATGCTGCAATGTTGTCGCCCGCCGCGGCTTCCATTGGGGTCGCCTGCATCTCAATTCCGCTGCAGTCTAGAGCCTGTGCATCGTTGCTGTGACTGAAGACTTATATTGGGAGCCTTTCCACGATGGAAATTTCTCTGAGGCGCGCTGGCTAGTCATCAGAGGAGAGGCGCCTACACCACCGGCTTGAATGGATCCAGCATTATGCTGAAGCGACTCGTCCGTGCCTCCAGCTGAGAACCTGTGAGCCGGCCTCTTGAGTCTTGTGTTAGGAAATTCCCCAAATTTGAAAGAAGCGCCATAGCGGCCCTGAAACGTCCACCCTGCAGTTGACTTTTCAGTGCAGCGCTCAATACGGTACATGGCCCATGGCATGGGCCTCCCATGTGGGCCTATCCATAGTGCATTATGCACCAGGCTCCAGCCTCAGGCTCCAGCACTGAGCACTCCCTCGGGCCTCGGGAGTCGGCGGTTTCTACCGGCAGCCGCCTAGATTGGCGGCCGACAGCTAGTGAGTGCGCGGGAGAGCTTTCCGATCGAGTGGCCTGACCTATCAAATGAGTGGGCGGCCAGCTAGTTAGCGGCTGCAGGCTGAGAACTTGAAGTTGCAGCCATGCACTGATGCAGTGCGTCCAAGCTGCAAGAACACTCAAGATCTGGACTGCACTGCCAAGGCGCCAACTTGCGCGTTGCCATGTGGCTCTCATGCTGCCCTGTCCTCTGGGGGATGAAAGATACAAGTCAACGTACCATCATGATACTCCATGGGGAATTTTGACATACTTTATCTCAGCAATTGGCAGGGTTGACCACCTTCTGATTCTGAGCAACATTTCAATCAAAGCAGAGTTTTCAGCTCGCTGATCTTCAACATCTCCGCAATGGCACACGCCAGGGGCTCTCAAGCTGCTTGCAGATCACTGCACGGATGCCCAGCGACCACTGCTGGGCTTGCGAGCGCTCAATCTACACCACAAGCGACAAGAACGGCCTTTTCTGCACATAGCCCACAAGCTTTCTTGGGACTGCGGGGCCCGGCGGCGTTCCCAGGTCAATATGTGCAAGCGAGGGACTTGCAGCGCTCATGTCAGCTTCTCCCTTCGCCAAATCTGCTCAGCCATCAGCAGCCTCCAGCAAGGAAGTGCTCCATTGAGTCACGCGGTCTCCCTGGAGTGTGCCGCGCAGCTGCAACAGGTGCCCCGTCGGCCGTGCCCCCCAGATCCCCGTACTTTGACCCTCCCGGCTTTGTGGATGACCTGACGTCTGCGGCTGAGAAGAGGCAAGTCGTATGAATCTTGAGCTATGCAATCTGCATGACCTTCACATGCTTTCAGTTATACTGCTTTCAATCAATGCTGCTTTCAATCATTCAGTTGATGAGATTCCGAATGCGTCTTGTTGTAGGCTGCTGCGTCTTGCTTTCGTCCCCAATGCTGCTGTCCTCCGTGGTTTCGAGCTTCAGAGGCAGGACTCTTTCATACATTGCATTTGAGGCTTCTTGGTCAGGATGACAACGCTTGGGACAGGGAATCGGCGCAGGTCTAAAAGCCTAGTTTTCTTGGCTGGAAACTGAGCTCATTCTGAGGCTTGCTTAGCCATTGAGGTGTTAGAGCAACAGGTTGACCTCTTCTCTTGCCAAGCTTTAGCCAACAGCTCTTTCAAGCCCGATTTTGTTCCAAGGGGGGCCCGCTCCTCTCATATACAACCCCCTGCGCAGGGGCTGGAGCGATTGGATCAGCCGCCAGATGGACCGCGCAGTCAAAGGCACTCCCTCACGGAACGACGGCCCCCGCCGCCAGTTCCTGAACCCCAGCAAGCCGAGTACCCCGCTGGTTGAGCCAGTCACATACAAGGACATCTCCTGGACGGCATTCCCGCGCCAGGTCGATGTGGACACAGGGTCCGACAGTGCCAGGTGGGGGGAGCTGAAGGCGTGTTTCCAAGGAGTCTTTTGCCCCATGTACTGAATTCCGTCAGTATTGCATCTTGCAATTGCAATTGCATTTCGCAAGGCATTGCTTCACACTCCACCTTGCCCAGGGGGACTGCCGTACGCAATGTTCAGCTTGCAGATTGGAAGAGTTGTCTCTACCTCTCCCAACCTCCTCCCCTCATTCTGGAGGTCAATAACGCTGTGCAATTGCTCCAGTTCTGGGGCTTTCTTTTCCTTTTGAGGTGTGTTTTAGGGCCGCAGGTGGGGCCCTTGCTGGCCTCTCCAAAGGAGCTTAAGAGTCCCGAGCTTCTTCCTTCTCATACATGCTGTGTGATTGAAAGTAAGGACTGGGCTGCTCTGATGGTTATCCCCCAACTTTTGGCATCTGTAGTTGGCTCGGGCATTTTTGTCGGACACCCAGCCACGCTCGGTTGCAATGAACCAACAAAACTTTGACTACCATTCCCCAAAAGCCCGCAGAATCTGCACCAGATCTCTGGACTTGCGAGATCAAACCACGGTGTCAAAAGTTGTTCAGCCTGGGGCACAGCCTCCTCCTCTCATGGGTTTGTGTTGAGGGTCCTGCGAGATTAGAATCTTTTTCATTCTGCTGAAGTTGTGCCCTTCTTTGCTCCCTTTTCTTTCTGTCCACTTACTTTTGCAACCGCCTGATGGCGAATGCATCATGCGACTTTGTGGCCTATGCAAGCTGGACGGAGGTAAGAAGATCCCTGATAAAACTGGTTGAACACCCAAAGCGAGCAGCCTACTGAGAGATGTGATCACGCACCAGAAGTGTACACTTCCAAAATTTGGCTCGGCTGAAATGCTTCACGGGCGGGGTCTTGGCAGGTGGGCTGCCGCCGACAAGTCGCGTGACGTACAGGACGAGTACTGCGAGTGGAGCGTCACGCGGGACCCCGTCAGCAAACTCATCACAAAGGTAAGGCTGCTCAACGGCCACAACAGGCTGGCATCGTTTTGAGGACAGGAGCAAAGAGGTACATGCCAAGGCAAGGGCGATGGCATTGCCGGTAGGCACCAGGGTGCATCCTGAGTTGATTGGTAAAGTGCTCGCTCCATCTCGGTGCCTAGAATGGGGGCCAAAACAACTTTCAGTCGAGTTCGTAAAACACAGAAAATTACCTGCACTCAAAGGCGTGGAACACTACCTATGTGACATGAGGCCGTCAAGCCATTGCAGCCGCGCCGTGACTTACTTTTCTTCCAACCAACCTACAGCGTAGAAACCTTTGTCGTTCTTAGTGCACTCTTCTAATGGGTCAGCAGAGTCAACAAGGGGTAGGGGTCACCCGTATTAGCTGCCTGCAGGTCACGTTCACAAGCGAGGGTCCCGAGTACTGGGACTACCTGGCGTCCGTGAATCCGGACAAGGTGCTCGCGCTGTACCAGCAGCACATCAGCGCTGACGTCAAGAAGGCCGACTTGTTCGACACGGAGGGGAATTACAACCGGCGGAACAAGTGGAATTCAACCACCACGCGTGGCGCTATGCACCTGATTCAGGACAGCAACTCCCTAAGCGCTGAGATCGAACTCGCAGGGGGGTCGAGGTGAGAAGACCGCGACGGGAAGGTCGTTGTAGTGTACATAGGAACACTGCTTTGAACCGTGCTTCGTAACTCGACATTTAAGCGTCGACTCACCGTAGGCGTTCAGGAAAAAAGCAGTTAATCTGACGTTGACACAGGAGTTAGAAGCGGATTGTTTCGATGATGAGCACGTAGCCTTGTGCTGGGTTCCAACTTTGTGGAGTGTTGGGACGGTCTGATCTGGATTGAAAGGGGGGGTCACGCACTCGAGGCAGCAAGCCATCTGAGCTTTGCCCCTCACGCTAACCACTTCTTAAAACCGTTGTCAGATTGCAACGGAACGTGGAACTTTTGGCAAGCAACCCCAAATGTTCATGGATTCACCAACACAGTATCGTCGTCTTCTCGGTGCCGATATTTTCATGCGTTGAGCTTACCGACGACTTTCCCTTCTTCGCCGGCTGTAAATGCGTGTTCCCTGCTCCTTTTGAGAACCCGCGTTCTCTATCGACCTCAGCTTGGATATACTGCATCGCTCGTTCTTTGATTGTTCGAACCACATGGCGATGCAAGAGTCAAGGACGCTTTCAAATCTACGAGCTTTTCGAACCAACCTCCGCTACAAAGGGATGACTCTGAAAGGTTGTTCGGCTGAAACGTACGGCCCGACAATCTCCTTCGTAACCTTTCGCAGTCTGCTTCTCGTTGCAAGTGCCAATGCCTTCACTTGTTTTCCTTGCCAACGCGTGGGAGTAAACCAAGTTGTGCCTCGAAGATGTCGCGTCGATCGATCACCTGATCCAGTCACTGCTCACCCCTTGCACTCACAGCATCGTCCGGACATCCGATGGGCAGATCCTGGAAGACAGTCAGGATCTTATCCAGTGCGGCCAGTACGGCGCACCCGGGCGCAACTCGGACCCCCACATCGGCTCCGAGGTCAACGCGCTCGCGCGCGCCAACGCGGTGAGCGCTACCTCTTTGTTCCGTTTACTGTTAACCGAGTTTTCCCAGTTTCTGCTGTTAGAGATCGAGTTGAATACTTGACTGCAACCATTCGAGTAGCCGGCGACAGCTGGCAGACAGCCGACTGCAGCACCCTGGTTCCATTGGCTGCGCAACCTGGGTGTCTTCATGCACCACCGCAATCTGTCCGCTGGAATGGCCTCGTTGGCTGACCCCGCAGAACGCTGCAGTAGCGCAATCTGCTCGGCTGTATCATCAATTGAGTCGGTCTGCTCGGGTGTATCATCAATTGAGTCGGTCAGCGGCATCGGCAAGTTTACTCGCCCCTTTCAAGCAGTGTTTCTGACTAGCTGCCCTTGCCAACCCAGAGCCTACCAGAGAGGGGTTCACATTGTACATACTTTATTCAATTCGGGTCGCTTCGATTCGTGAGTGCTGCCTCAATCCGCTGACGTCACGGGGTCAAATCGAGGCAACTCGACTTGGATTCACATTGGCAATACTATATCGTTGCCTCAATACGAAACCTCAGTCGTTTCGGTCGGTGGTTGTAACTTTGTAAAGTAGAGACTCACCTTAAAACTCAGCCGTCCAACTTACCACGCTAACGTGGTTTAAGGCACCTTTTCAGCGAGTCGGGGGTGCGTACCCCAATTCGAGTTGCTTCAATTCCGAGTTGAGGCAAAGCCGAGCGATGCCGGATTGAAGCATATGAATTGGGCCCTTTCTATGCTGACGTCTGCCTGCGAAAGCGTACTAATGACATCGTGAAGCGCGAACTGAAGCAAAAGTTGTCGAACGGGGTTGCCACCGTTGTGACGCCCCCTCTTCCCCCCGCAGTTCCTGACGCTCAAGAACCCGGTGGCGCTGTACATCGACGGCCTGGACGCGTCCACGTGGACCACGCCGGACGGCACGGACGCGCAGTCCTTCTGGAAGGTGACACGTGGCGCCCCTGGGCTCGCCCTCCGGGCGGTTTACGAGGTGCCCAAAGACAAGGGCTACACCGTCGGGGAGATACAGACGGCGCGCGGACAGTGAGCACCGGGCCGCACTGTGCTTCGAGCACATTAGTCAGCCTTCATGGCGGCAGTGTCAACCGAGTGACAACCCGAGCCGCTCTTCTGTTCTACTGCCCCGGGAGATGGATTTTTCTTCTTCTTTTCTCAAGGGCCTGATCTTTTAGCAATACTAAAGTAAAGGTGCATACAGACGGTGATTCGGGCCTGCCAAAGTGCCCAATCATATCGAACAGCAATCGGCTGGGAGCTTGAAGGGACTAACGAGAAGAAGCAAACCACCCGGGGTCTTGATGTAGCTTCGTTTGCCAGACCGGGCGTTTTCATACTCTGTCACACGTTGAGGCGCTCGATTCTTGAGCTTCTGCACGAGTAGACGAGGGAAGTGCAAACATGCACCTTTCTTCACTTGCTTTGCTCTCGCTTCGACCAGACGACCAGAAGGGGTGACTCCGCTGACGTTGGCCCATCATGTGGATGCACTCCAGCAGTGGCGCGGTCTCAACGGGTTCCCGGTTCCTTACTTGTCCCCCTGCTCTCGCGGCGGTGCGCTTGATGGAGTTGCGTAGACTCAGCGGCCCGTCAAGTCTGTCCGAGTTGGGCAGCCAGCTCCGCTCTGCCTGTTCCAATCCTTCCCAACTCCTGTCGCCAACAGTTCAAACGAAGCTTCAAGGAATCGGGGCCTCACTAGTCGGCGCTTCTCGCGGATCCTACCGTCTTGACAGGGCACGCGACGCTCCAGTACAAATTGCAGTGCCCATCGGAGTGCCCGGGTGGACTTTGACCTGGCTGTGGCCTGCTCTTGCAGGAGGATCGAATACGGCGCCCAGATCGCGGACTTCATCCAGATCCGCCTCACCGGCGCCGCGTGCCGCATCGGTGAGGCGAACTTTGAGCCGGTGGAAGGCTGCGTGGGCTGACGGCGTTGCTGACGCAACTGGGCGGCACAGGATGCACAGCGGCTAAGCCAGCTGGCTTATAAGTTGAGCGTAGAGCAACAATTCAGAGCAGCGCCGTGGGCTTTGCTTTGGATTGGCAATTTTGCTGTGCCAGTAAATATGTGTACGTAATCTATATAAAAGTAGCGAGACAACATTAATCAACTGTTAGCTGTCAGAAATCAAATAACCAATCAATTTTTCTTCAATCGCTGACCCAGACATAAGACTTGCTCCGGGGCTCATGCAGAATTGTGAGTTGTCGACGGACGGTTGAGTCGGGCCGGGCACTTGGAGGCAGGCGCAGCTGCTAACCAGCGTTTTGCTTGACATTGAATCATACGGGCAGCTGAGTTAATAACGTGAGGACTGCGTCGAGGAGAGCCTGTGACGTAGCGACCGGAGAGTGCATGGCGCCGCGGTGCGCGGCCAAGGCTTCCGGATTTAATTATCCAACTTGTATATACCATGCATCACAATATCAATTTTGTCTCAAGTAGTTAGCTTTCATTATGCAAGCTAGGTGTGACGTGGTCTGCAACGTACACGGAAAGATTTTATCGCCTGTTAAAGGAATGGGACATTGAAACGCTAACACCATATATTCAATCGTCCTATGCAGATGATGTATCTCGATGATTGTGGCGCCGGGTTTTCATGGCACGTACCATACACGGATATATAAAATTTATAAAATTTATTACGCGCCATATGCAACTTCCCTAAATTGTCGACGGCCGTACTATATCATTGCTAGCTGCCGCCAGCAACTTACGGTATAGAAGCCACTTCTCGTCGGATCTGCGCGGCTCTGATCCACGAAATTCGACCTATCTTAGTTTGTCAAGCAAATTATCAGCTAGCTGGCACGGATTGACGCCGGGACCTTCATGAAAACCTCAGGTGCGAGCCAATGCACGGATCAACAGAATATAGAAATATCCGAGTTGCATACAGAAAGCCGCAGACGCACTAGTTACTAGTTACATTAAGCCCATAATTAAACTGGTGTCCACAACTTGAAGGCCGCTGCAGCAACATAGAGGCATATGAAGCAACAGCTTGTGGTCGGATTGTGGCAAGATGAGTCCCGAAGATTCCTATCTTCTACTATACAACGTGCGGAACTTGTACGGTCTTAGGCTTCGGAAGGAATGTTTACGCTTGATCTCGCCCCGCAACTGTCATTGGTGTTCTAAATCAACGGAGTTGAGGACCTTCATTGCAGGAGGAGGGTCGTGCAATGTAACGAGGGGTTCGCTAAGCCGAGATTGCCGGTCGCAACCTTTCTCCGCTTACCTTCGGTCAAGATGCGGCTCGTGATTGTAGCAAAACCCCAAAGCAAAAACCTGTGTTTGTGCTATAGACTGATCTCAAGTATCCTGCAGTCGCAAAGCGGTCACGAGACCGACAGCACCTGTTGGGCGGTCCAGGTCTGCCCCGGTTGCAGCGTGACCGGGTCCCCGACCACCGCCGCTTCCACGCACACAAACTGGTGGTACTCCTCGTCGCCCAGGTCAGCGGTCGCCTTGGCCTTCTCAATCCAGGGGTTCCAAACGACTGCACACACAGCGTAACGCCACCATTTCTTACCAAGACGATGGCAGCATCTGATGCCAACTTCCCAAGGTAGAAGACCGGTGCGGTAAGCTTGCTTGAAAAGGCTGTCAAAGGTCTCGTGTCTGCCAATTCAACTAGTAGGCATTTCGAAAATCGTGGCGCGTAGGCGAATCTTACTAGCGTCGGGCAGGCCGGTCTTTTTGAGCGTGATGGTCCTGTTGCCCCGGTCCACGATCCGCAGCTCGTCCGGCGTGTTCAGGTAGATGCGGTCCACCTGCAGAGCCAACGGGGGATAGTCCTTACCGAGGGGCAGGGAAAGGGCCGAGCTTGCTCGAAGTCCGAGTCGCTCCGAATGCCCGGCAGTACCTACTGGCCAACGTCACGATTGGTGCCGCCTGAGCTTCCATCCGGAACAACCACGTTCTCGTGCTGATTGATTGAGCCGGAATTACGGCCGATGCCCTTTCGGGCATCATGTGCAATTTCGTTTTATCGAACGCCTCGCCTGGACGGGTATGATTATCAAGTGCTGTGGCCGTACCTCTCCCTTGAAGTCGACAGCGCTCCGCTCCTCCTTTTCCTTCCGCCGCGGCGTGACCAGACTCTCCAGGTACTCCAGGCCCTGCACGCCCGTTACCTCCACGTTGCTGCACAGCAACAGCGGGCCACCACGTCAAAGAATGCCCCAGCCAGTCTGGAAGGTCCCCGACCTGATTGCCACAAGAGCGGTTAAATGCGGATCCTGGTAATCTGGCTTCAGGACGATCAAAGAGCGTTCCGGGCCTCCGCAAGCCTCGTTCTGATTGAATAGGATCGGCATGGACAGTTCCGCCGACCCCGCTATAATCCCGTACTTCCGTCCACACCCTCACTTGCAATAGGCTGCCTCGTATGCAAGTTCAGTCTTGACTCGGGGTTGCACTACACCTAAGTAGGAGGAAGCACATTGCCGGGTTCCACCGGGTTCATCGTCAAGGAAAGACAGGCCACTCACGACTATGAAAAGTCGCAAGTCGAAGTCCTCACCTGATGTCTGAGACTGCGAAGTAGGTGTGAAGAGCAAATGTGAAGGTGAAGTCCTCGATGCCAATGTTCTTGACGGACGGCTGCACAACCAGATTTCCGTTCGTGGCAATCTGCACCCGCATCCGCAGCTCAAACCTGCGAGGATGAGTGACGGCAAGTCTAGAGACCAGACGCCAAACCGGTCGCAATTTAAATGATTGTTTGTCCACGCCGCAAGGAGATGCACGGCCTTAGAGATGAAGTCAAAGGAGCCATCACTGTACGAGTGGCAGTTGACAATCAGCAGAAATCGGTTTGGCTCTCAGAGGTTCTTCATGTAGCGAACACACCAGTTTAACTACAGAAAACTTTCTTCTGAGCGGACAACTGGGCTACCCGACTTCCATCAAACACAGGGCGAATCAAAATTCTTCGTCTATAGAGAGTCTCTGGCAGCGCCAACTCACTTGTGCGGCCACTTCTGGAGCTCCTCCTGGCCTGATCTCAGGAGCAGCGTGAGCGTCGCTCCGTCCAGGCTCTCCTCGAGCGTGTCCACCGCCCACAGCTGGTTGCGCGCAAAGCCGTGCTGGCCAAGGGGGCCAAAGTCGCTGAACTGGGGGAAGCACACGGGGATGCCGCCGCGGATGGCCTTGGGGGGCTTGAAGATGGCCTGGACACGGGGGTGGGGAGGAAAGGGAGGGGTGAGGACTCAGCTGGAAGAGTGGAGTGAGTGCCACTGCAATCAGCACCTCATGTCGTGAGCCATTCTGACATTTGAGGACCATGTTGATTGCGCAAAAGAGCGTAAAACCTTCAAATCATGCTTCCACTTGTATGGTAGCACCAAGAAGCAGATGGTTGTGGGCATAAGCCCCAGTCCAGTTGGCTGCTAAGCTGGGAATCTACTAAGCTTAACAAAACAAAACAGGGAAATCTGCATAGCAAGGACAGATTGCCCTTACCTTTTCGCTGACGAACAGCAGCTCCTCTTTCTTAGACCCAGACACCCACGACGTCACGTGACCACCGTGGAGGTAGACCTGGCGTCAAAAAAAGTGGTTCAGGAGGTTGTACGTGCAAGGATGGGTCATCCAGGTCTCTGAACTCTTCAATAAAACATCCATCAGTGAGACTGCATGATACCAGCCGGACAAATTCGTGTATCTAGAAGATCTTTCCATTTCAAGGGGCAGTACCGTTGGAGTGCATTTGTCCAAAAGTTCCTACTTGAAGCACAAAGCCTTGCAATCATCTTCTGAAAGAAGTAGCTCAACCCTTCATCTGAGCTGCACCACTGATATGCACTTTTTGATGATATGGATTAATCTATACAACTTTTGCTCTCTTCTGTCATCTGTCGCGTGCATCAATCAATCACTGCACATCCGCAGGTGACAATGCAGCTGCATATGATCAGAGGTTGTTTCATGCTTCTCTAGAACCAACAGTCAGCAAGTCAAGGATCCACGATTAAGGAAGCAAAGCTGCGCGAAGAGACACCCAGCAGGGCACCGCATGCCCTTGCCGCCGTGTTCATCAACTGATCCAGGCCCACCTCTGCCGTTGTTCCATCTGCGTTCTTCAGGACGGCCTTGTCTAATCCCTCCGTAGACTGCGTGAGGACAATTGGTTTAGCAGCACCCGCCATAGCGCCCTGATTGACGTGAACCACTTGCCTGCCCTCCACCGGCGCTAGCTACAGTTCACCTGTTCAGGCACTCTGCAGCTAAGTTGTCGGATCGATCTCCAGGGCCCATGCAGCGCCCGCGGCCCGGGCGCCGCCGCCCAGGCGCAGCGGCGGCCAGCCCCTGGGCTGGGCTGGCCTAATTGGACGCCAAGTGGCACTCCGTGAAAGAACGCCATGGGTATTTCAACGCATCGACGGTCGACATGAGATCTTGAGCGCTTAAAATCTTTAGACTATCATCCTCAAATCCTTGGGGAAACAAGAGAATGTACTGAATTATATATACTTAGTAAGAACAGATTGTTTTGAAAGCCTGTGCGTGCATGAATGATATACCTCTATATCATTGTTATGCTCATCCGAATATTTCGATTGGGCAGGGCACGTACCATACACGAAACCAACATATGTATCGTCGTTTCAAAAAAGGTATACTGAGCTCGATCACTGAGCTACCATGTTTCAATGTCTCAGTGGTTGGGCCGGCGCCGCCAGCGTGAGCCTGCTCGTTCAAGTTCATGCATTATATCATCATGTTCATATATTACTTAGTATCCGTCGAGTCGGTTGGTGACGGTTGCAGATCGAAGATCACAGCCCATGACGTGGGCCGATACACGTCTAGCGCGGCATGCAATAACCTTCCATGCATGAGAGTCTTCATATGTATGATTGGCTGCCCAACTGTACACTCAACGGTTACATGAACAAACTTGAAATACGCAGCCTTGCTATGTCACCATCACTTCTTGGAGTTGCATATGCATGTCCCACAAAGTGCAGCTTACTGAATGTACGCTCAAATCGATAGAATTCAAGTGGCATAGCGGGAACTGATTGCGCACCGCAGTACTATAGTTGCTTCACGGATCATTGTGATGTATGCAGTGCCATACCTGCGTTCCACGCGTTAGTCGCAGCGCAGCAATTGGCTTGATGATTAGGACCACATGTCCAGACCACTGCACACATAGGGCCAGGCAATGCTCAAGGCACGAATCAAGGTATTGAGGTGCTCGCAACAATTTGCACGGAACCAAGATCCACCTATCTACCACGAGTCTGAACTACATCCCTTTGTCTAGCCTACGATTGATGAAGGAAGTCATAAAAAGAAGCTCAAGATTCGAAGCGTTTGGAGCTGAATTTCAGCTTCAGAGCAATGCTTATCAAAACTATACCAGAGTTTTTTCCACCTGATGACAGTCAAGGCAGCTCAATGAGAGTCAAGGAGCTTATGTATCGCATCCGCAAGGCAACTCATGTACATCCGCCGGCCAAAGTCTTTCGCGAGTTCTCGCTGGCGGCCAGTCCCAGCCTGCATGGGTGAGCAGCGCGTGGTGCGCCGTTGGCTTATGCCACCCGCTCTTCGAGCGCCGCGTGCTCCACGTTGGGGGCCGTCGTGATCAAGTGCCGGTCGCCAAACACGTTGTCAACACGCCCTGCACGTCGCAACCCAAGCCCATCAGCCGATGCACGACAAGAAGGATACAAGCAGCACCACCTACGAGCATACCAGCACCTACGAGCATATCAGCAGTGGCAAGCGCCCAGCGCGGTCAGCCATCGTGTGCATCTCATACGTGTGCAGTGCAACGCTGTGGCACAGGGGTGAGAAGGCACTGGACGGCTCTTACCTGTAGTAGGCCAGAACTTGGCCTGGCGGACCCAGGCTGCCGGGAAGGCTGCGGCCTCGCGCGAGTACGGCTTCTTCCAGTCGTCGCCCAGGACAACTGCCGCCGTGTGGGGGGCACCCTGCAACAAGACACTAGACTCAGCAATCCGAAAAAGATTCCAACACTGCCAAGAAAAGTGCTCAGACAAACTGCCGCACACCGTGCCACACAGTCTGATTGTGCCGTCGTCAGCTGGAGTACAACATATGCAAAGCAAGCCTCCTGCAGCAACCTTTGCTAGCGCACTGAGGGGGGAGGATGGCGGGTGGGCCGCGCACCTTGAGAACGTTGTCGCGGGGGCTGGCCACGCCGGTCTCGATCTCCCGGATCTCCTCCCGGATGGCGATCATCGCGTTGCAGAAACGGTCGAGCTCGCTCTGCAGACAGGCGCACGGTCAGAGAGGCCGTGAGAGTAGACGCGACTAGAGGGGGAGTGAAGAATGAAGAAGCTTCCCCGTCTGACTTAAGATGCAAGGTGACCTCAGTACGACATGGTATCGGCTGCAGTACGAAACCGTATCGGGCGTGGAAGAAAAGGCCTCTGCAGCAGCCGAGCCAGGCATGACGGCGGTAACGGGGCGGGGCGCACCTTGGACTCGGACTCAGTGGGCTCGATCATGAGGGTGCCAGGGACGGGCCATGACATGGTGGGCGCATGGTACCCGTAGTCCATCAGCCGCTTCGCCACGTCCTCCGCCTCAATGCCCGCCGTGTTCTGCACACATGACCACGGGGATGCGGTGTGAAACAGCGAGCGGAGGAGCTGTGTCCCAGAGCCTCACGATCAAAGAGAGCACGTTTGAACGAACACAGTCTCTCTGCAGCAAGACGTTTAGATGCCAACATGAGCAGCAGGCTAAGTGACGCGTCATACAAGTTCTAGTGTCACGGTATGCTGTACAGTCGTTGCCTGTAAGGTCACGATGCAGGTGGTGCCTGACCTTGAAGGCGCGCAGGTCGATGATGAACTCGTGGGCGCAGGTCCCATTGGCTCCACGGAACAGAACGGGGTAGTGGCTCTGCGCGCATCCAAAAGCGAGGGAAGCTGAGCACACGCTCGTTTCTGAGGGTCGCATGCAGGCAGCAGGTTATGAATGCTGTAGCGAGTCCGCCCAATCTCAGAAGAGCAGCCGTGCTCAGGACACCACAACTTTAGGATCAGACGAACGAGACAGCCTGCCGCTCCCCTCAGCTGGCGGCGCGGAGGAAGGTGGGCGCACCTCGAGGCGCTTGGCCATGTAGTTGGCGTTGAGGATGGCGAGCTTGGAGGCGTCGGTGAGGCCCTGCGCGCCCATCATGGCGATGTACATGTAGCTGATGGGCAGGATCGCCGCGCTGCCCCACGGCGCAGCCGCCACCACGCCAAACGGCTGCAGCGCATCCTTGGGGGGGGGCACGCCGCCGGTGGCAATCACGGGGTGGGACGGCAGGAAGGGCGCCAGGTGCGCCTTGACGCCGATGGGGCCCATGCCAGGGCCGCCGCCGCCGTGAGGAATGCAGAACGTCTTGTGCAGGTTCAAGTGGCACACGTCCGCGCCAATGTGGCCGGGGCTGGTCAGGCCCACCTGGAACGGGGAGAACGGGGAGTGGGTCAGAGCAACGCTCATGAACATGGCAAATACATGGTTCTTGTTGATTCCGCATATGCTTGACAGGAATGAAGGCAACGATAATCTTCGCTAGGACACGACGTTTCGTGGACGTTCGCTGTTGAACCACACACCAAAGAATTGTCAAAAAGCGGAAGGTTTCGGTCTCGCACCTGTGCGTTCATGTTGGCCCCGTCCATGTAGACCTGGCCGCCGTTCTCGTGGATGATGCGGCAAATCTCGTCAACGCCCTCCTCGTACACGCCGTGAGTGGAAGGGTACGTGATCTGCACCACACAATCAAGAGCACATTATCACAATTGGCACTACTCAAGCGTGGGAAGTCTGACGGTTATACATGGTTCACGAATAGGGCTCACGACGACCGAGCTTGGAACCATCATCAAAGCAAAGGAAGGAGAAGGTGAAGCCACGTAGGCCCCTCTGATCTCGCCTGCTGTTTTTGAGTTCTGCACCATGGACAAATCCTGTGTCAGATGGTAAGGAACGTGGATCGCCGGAACCTTGAGAGAGCACAATCGCCCCGCTCTTGCTCAGGCTGCATGCCAAGCGACGCATGTTGCCCCTCACCATGAGCGCCGCCAGCTCGTGCTTGTGCTTCTCGGCCTTGGCCTTGAGCTCGGCCACATCGATGTTGCCGTTGTCGTCACTGGCCACAGGCACGATGCGCATGCCGCACATGGCTGCACTCGCGGGGTTGGTGCCGTGAGCGGATGCAGGGATGATGCACACGTTCCGGTGCACGTCGCCGCGAGCGCGATGGTATGCACGGATGGTCATGAGCCCCGCATACTCGCCCGCCGCGCCCGCGTTGGGCTGTAGCGACACGCTGTCAAAGCCGGTGATCTCCGCAAGCATTGCCCCCAGGTCCGCAAACATCTCCTGCACACACCAACGCGTCAGGAAGTCAGATGGGCAGCACCAAGACCAGCAAGACAATAGCCAGCTGGCACTCCGCACTTGAATCTGCTCAATCTTCGATTCTTCCTGGAAAGCTGGTTTGATGAGCCGAACAGGTAAATTGCAGGTAGGGATCAACGTTATGGTGATGTTCCCTTGCCTAGCTGGTTCCAGAGAAAGCCTGTGCTATCAGAGCCTCTATGACTTCAAACCCTCCACCACAAATCCGAGCCTACTAGGAACTAAAGGCCTCTGTGTGCCACTATGCGTGCACAAGGCGGTCACCTGGTAGCCCTGTGTCTGGTTGGTGGGGGCGAAGGGGTGGATGTTGGCGAGCTCGGGCCAGGTGATGGGGATCATCTCGGAGGTGGCGTTGAGCTTCATGGTGCAGCTGCCGAGCGGGATCATGCTGTGCACCAGGGACAGGTCCTTGGCCTGCAGCCGGTAGATGTACCGCAGCAGCTCGTGCTCCGTGTGGTACCTGCACGCACCACGAACGGGGGGAACGGGTAAGCAAGCAAGCCAGTGCATCCGGGGCTGGCAGCAGTACCCTTAGCTCAGAGAATTGGCCTGAGGCGTGACACAATCTTGGCCATACCCTCAAACTGCATGCTGCGTTTCCAACTATGCAATCAGATTCAAAGCACTGCTGACACGCCTCTGATAAGAGGGGACGGCACCTACGTGACAGCACCCCCCAATGAGGACATGTCCCTAGACAAGGCACAGGTGCTCACATGTTGAAGACAGGGTGGGAAAGGAAGGGGCTGCCGCGCGCCAGGCCGGAGGGAATCTGAGAGTCCACCTCGGGGGCCAGGGACTCAGCTGTAAACGGGACCTGGAACACATGTCAAGCAGACTGTGTCAGCTCAGACTCTAGGGGGAAACCAGCGTAGGGCACAGGAACAGCAAGCTTGCAGCAGTTGCTGGGGGACAAGGTGCAAGGGGGCTGGGTGAGGAGCGAGCGAGGGCACACACCTTCTGGCCGGAGGCGAAGATGGAGAAGAGCTCGTCGACATCCGCCAAGTTCTTGGTCTCGTCAAAGGACACTGTCAACTGCACATCCAGCCCACCCATCACTGCATCAGCAGAGTGGCGGCCGGCAAGCAACAAGGGAAGCCTCACAGCATGGACCTTAAGGGGAACTTCACAGGTCAAGACCCACGACAAGAGCATCTACGGCAGGAAACCCCCTGCGGTGGGAACGCAGGCTGTTGCCTGCTGCCAGTTGGATACTCTTTCACATCTAGCTGATGACAAGCAGCCACCGGGGCAGCGGTTCTCAAGGACCACACGCTGAACCCCAGCCACTCAAAAACCACTTTTTAAAATCTCACATGCAGATTCACAGGCCATCAAGATGCTGCTGCCTCATCAAAATCAAGACTGTGGCACATTTTCAACCGTTGCTCCTGCCTGCGCGCCAGTATGCTCACCGTGTTGGGGTCAGTCTCCAGGACGCGCAGGTTGACCTTGCGCTCCTGTGCAGCCGCCACCAGGGCCTGTGCCTGACCATTGGGGAAAGTAATGCGCACAGTGTCAAAGAAGGGCTCCTGCGCCACAGTGCCCACGTCCAGGCGCTGCACGCCGGCAGCAAACACTGCGGCCAGGCCGTGGGCCCTGGTGGCAATGTCCTTGAGGCCCTTGGGGCCGTGGTACACAGCGTACATGGCCGCCATGTTGGCCAACAGGGCCTGCAGGGAAGGGCCACCCAGGGTCACAACGGGCCGGTGTGCCCTAGGACCAGCGAGCTTCTAAAGACAAGCGATCTGCTAGCTTTGACGATCAATCAAGCATGCCAGCCTGGAGAATCAACCAAAGCGTCACAGTACAGGCGGTGAGCCCTAGCAACACCAGGCTCCTGGATGCGAGCAATCTAACTAGCTTTCAAAAAATCCAATCAAGCGCGCCAGCCTGCGAAGATGATATTATGGAGAACCAGCTCAGCATCAGCAACCCTACAAAAAGCAGCTACTTGGCGCTACCATCACCTCTATATGGCCATTAAAAGGAGGTCTGAAACCCTAGCGAACAAGATGGCAGCAGCGTGTCCTGCGTCAATTCCAATTGGAGCACCCCCTGGCTCTTGTACCAATCAAACGTCTTTCCAAGCACCGCTGAGCTCGAGAACGTCTTTCCAAGCACCGCTGAGCTCGAGATTGCCTGAGAGCGCGCCTACTCACCTGCGCGGTGCAGATGTTGCTGGTGGCCTTGTCGCGGCGGATGTGCTGCTCGCGCGTCTGCATGGCCATGCGTAGCGCCGGTTTGCCCTGCGCGTCCACGCTCACGCCGATGATGCGCCCCGGCATCAGCCGCTTGTACTCCTGGCTCGTCGCCAGGAACGCGGCGTGCGGCCCGCCATAGCCCATGGGCACACCAAAACGCTGCGCGCTGCCCACCACAATGTCGGCGCCCCATTCCCCGGGGGGCCTCAGAACGGTGAGCGCCAGCAGATCTGTGGACACCACAACCTTGGCCCCTGCGCCCTGCGCCGCCTGCACCACGTCGCTGTAGTCAATGATGCGCCCATCCGTGGCTGGGTACTGCACGAGCACGCCCGCCACGTCCTTGCCGCTGTAGTCAAACGCCGCATGGTCGCTCACCACGACCTCGATCCCCAGGCCCTCCGCGCGCGTCTGGCACACCGCAATGGTCTGCGGGTGGCAGCGGTCGCTGATGAGGAACTTCTTCTTCTTGCCACGGGTGATGTTGACACACATGGCCAGCGCCTCTGCGGCGGCGGTGCCCTCATCCAGGAGGGATGCGTTGGACATGGGCATGGCGGTGAGGTCGGAGATCATCGTCTGGAAGTTGAGCAGGCTCTCCAGGCGGCCCTGCGCAATCTCTGCCTGGTACGGCGTGTACTGCGTGTACCAGCCGGGGCTCTCCAGGATGTTGCGCAGGATCACGGGCGGCACATATGTGTTGTAGTACCCCATGCCAATGTACGACTTGGCCACCACGTTCTTGGCTGCCATAGCCTTGAATTTGGCCAGCATAGCGCTCTCAGGGTAACCCTCATTGTACTCCCCAAGATCCATTGGCTCGCGCTTGATTGCCTGTGGCACTGTCGCCTCAATCAAGGCATCCACGCTGCTGAACCCCACAAATTGCGCCATCTGCTGGCCCTCCTCCTCGCTGATGCTATTGTGGCGACGGGCAAATGTGTCGCTCTTGCGCAGCGCCTCCACTGAGATGCTCCGAGCTGCCAGCAGGCTGCTGCCCAGGGAGCCATACTGCAACGCAGAAGGGACGGAGCGGCGACACAAACCACAGGGCCCGGACTCAGACAGCAAACCCTTCAAAGCTCCCCTGTGCTGGCCGGCTGCCGCCTCACTCTCCCCCAGGGCTGCAGCACCATGAACATTCTTGGCCCTGTTCCCCGCAGCAACCAACGCCCGCCCCAGCCGCAGCGCGTTCGAGCGCAAAGATGCCATTGTGCAGGATCTGGATCAAGCCCTTCGCCTTCGGGCCAACCTGCTGCTTGGAAGAGCACCGGAATGGATCGACCTTGTGCGATGCTCCCTAGCAGACGCGACTGTCCATCCTGCTTTTGGCAATTCCTGGAATTATTCCACGGCAAGCTCCTGCATCACCAACGTACGCAAAACGCAAGGTGGGACAGCAGGCACGTCACAGCGCAGGCTAGCGTTGGCATCAACTTGGCTGTACACGGGCACGGTTTGCGTACCAACGGTACATTAGGTAGGTAGGTACTCGACTCGTGACGTAACTTGCGGTTCTTTTCATACTCGTATTGCAAATGTAAAATGTCTTTTTCGGCCGTTCTCACAACCAGAGCAGCTGTCGTATTCTTTCCCCCAAAATCTGCTTTTTGCAATCTAGAATATCTTAACTACTAGGCTCCTTATTTCGGTAGAAAGACAAGTGTAAAAGCTAGACCCTGATCATATTCTCGTATGGAGCCTAAGATTGATCTCCTATCTAATCATAGTACCATAATATATGCATGTATAATGCACTTATCCGTATCATGGTGTGCTTGCACATGTACAACTTGCCGCGGCCTAGGCCGGAAGTTGCAACACGTGACATGATGAACCTACCAAGTCAAGGCTTCTTTCCGGATACAGTGACCGTCAGATCCGTATCGTACGGTAAGTGCTTGTTTCAAGTTGCCACGTCGGATTCAGTGGCGTAATTGACCTTCTTTACACCGTTTTGTTGAAATGAGACCAGTCACCAACAACCAGCACCCAAACCCGTCAAACGCTTGTTTCAATCTCAGAAGTTGCGGGCGTGAATACCCCGATCGTCATCCAGCTAATCCGCTCTACCGCAGAGCTACGAAGCTTTACGAACGGCGTATGGATCTTCATCGGCGTCGTTTCGGCGATGCAGCTCATGGACTTGAAGCGAAGCACCATTCAACAGAACCAGTTCGATTTCGATTCGAGACGAGAAATACGACGTCTGACCTCTGAATTGTTCTGTGTGGCTGATGTCGCTGCTCCGCGTCGAAGCTCTCGCCGAAGTGTTGCGGCCCAATGCAGGGCTGCAAGCCCGTTTGCACGACACGATGCCGGAAGGGATCGAAGTCGTCGATGAAGAAGAAGCAAGCTGTTCCTATCTTCCCCAAGCTTCGAGATTCCTTTGAAAAGCAAGCTGCCTAGTGTTGCTCGAGAACCACGATACCAAAATTCCTAGCTACGTTCGCTGCCTCCACAATCGAGTCCTGGTTTGTCCACACGCTGTGCACACCTCCAACATTCTGTGTGCATGACTGAGAATGGCTTTTCCGCAGCTGTCTGCAGCCCCAGCTGTTGTGGCAGACACGCGGCCAACCTGGCGGTTCCAAATAAGCTTGGCAGAAGATGAAGCAACAGTGGTCTCCTTCAAGTAAGGACACACATGCTGCACACTTTGTTCAGGTCAACAGTCAGTGGCTAGGAATAGCCGGCAGGGCCTCAGTGACATTGGTTCTCCAAAGTGGTTGTCCACATGCCTGGTTGCTCTGGCTGCTGATATGGTGCTCAAGGTTATCCAAAGGCCCTCCCAATCTTGGTCCTTCAAAGGGTTTGAGGGAGTCAGGGTCAATGCAGCCACTCTGATGCTGGCCCTGCATGGCTCTGGGCTTGTAGCAACTCGCAGACATGTGACCTTTGATAAACCCTTGGTCATTGGAACTAAAATTGGCTACATCTGCCCCTCATAGTAGCCTATGCTGGCAGTTGTTGGTGGTTATCAGGGGTGCACTGCTATGCTGCATCCCCTGCTTCCAGTCAGACAGGAGGCTGTTTCCCAAGTTCTGATGCTGTATGCCAAGATGTGGCAAAGTGTTCCCATTGCACTTCCTTTTTGGTTGGTTGCTTGGAGGAGCGACGGTCCAATTGTTGTGATCAAGCCCCACTTGGATTTCAGCAGTCAAGGCTGGAGTCAGAGGGTTTCCCCCATTTCGTGGCCTAGAATGTTTGCCGTCTGGTTGCAGAAAGCTGGTGCGGGAGGCTGAGCGCTCCGCGCAGGCGCAGAATGGGCCCCCCCAGGGACCGGCGCCCCTCCTCCCTGGAGGCCCAACTATTGAGGCCAGTGATGGACCAGCTTCGGTGAGCGCAAGTGTCCCGCCTGGGCCTGCGTTCAAGGGGCCCCATCAAAGTCCCGCGGTGTCACTTACTCTGGTGGCCCCTCTTGAAGCACGTTTAGGGCAGCTTGAGTGGAAATTTGTTTTCTTCACGTGTCGGAGCGCTCATTCTGATCCTCGCTTCATGTGCAGCCTCCCCACCCGACCCCTCCTGGCTTGGGGGGAGACCTTGCAGCGGACGGGCTGCCGCCCCCCGCCAATCGCTTCAGCTCCGTCATTGAGAGGATTGAACGACTGTACACAGTAAGCTGAACAAGCCCCCCTCTCGGCCTCAGAAGCAAGCATGAAAGGACACCAGATCATGGTGGTGGCAGTCAGGGCATTGGGCTGCAAGGAAAGGCGGGCTGGCTCGTACGCTCGACACTTGATGAGCAAAACGACATTGTGTTCGTCTAAACCTGGGCAGAGGCGTGAATCCCAACTAGTTTGGACACTGTTGTGGTACTCGTTGAGATTCTTTACATCTGAAAGCAACCTGCTGATGCTTCTTCCATGTTTCAGCCCTTTTTGGCACCCACACTGACTTGAATTCATTGCCCAAATGCACTTCCATCGAGGAGCTCTCTGGTGTGCCACTTTGGCGAGATAGAGGACGTCACGCTCTTGCCTGCGCTTGTGCGTGGCAGGGGCACCAGAGCGACGAGGAGGAGGACACGCGCCAGCCGGCGGGGGCAGCCCCGGAGGAGGCCACCCCGCGCCACAGGAACAGGGAGGACGACTTCTACGACACCGATGACTCGTTCATTGACGATGACGACCTGGTGAGAGAGTTGCGACCACCCGGCAGGATGATGGCGGCACCCCCTCTTGGAAAGGGGAGATCTGCACCAAAGACTGGGGAGTGGTCCGTGACCCACAGGAACAGCATTCTTGATCATGTTGCTCTCTGCTCGGGGTTAAGAGTGTGCCAGGCGTTTGCTGAGCGGAGTGCTGTTGTCGCACATGAGAGTAGACATGGGAAGTTTTTGTTTGGTGCGTGCAGGACGCCTACTTCTCAGACCAGGGTGAGCCGGAGCACCAGGGCTTTGTGGTTACCAAGGGGGCAGTCAAGCCCAGGTGAGCCACAGGAAAATGATGAGACAGGCGCGCTGGGCAAGGAGCAGAAGCAGTGTTTAGCAGATTGCTGTATTGTGGGAAGGGTTTTCAGTGCCAGAGGGGATCAACATGCGTCTGGCCCAAGCCATCTGGCCTCTTGTTATAGGTTATGCTCTCTGCCCTCATAGGGGGTATGGTATGTGGAGTAAGCACATAAAGGGTTGTGATGGCTGTGCAAGCATCTGTAAATGGTTAAGTATGATGCAAGGGATGTGCTGGTCAGCGCTCTTCCAGTTGCTCCCTGGAACTCGAGGCGGCACACCAATTTTCCACGTCCAAGAAACAAAGTGGAGCATTCCGGATGAATTTTTATGTGCTGTTCAGGGCTCCACGCGTTGAGGGGGACGGAGCTGGGGTTACCAAGAGGAAGAAAAAGCGACCACGGGTGGAGGCAGCAGAGGGGAAGGAGACGGACAATGGGAAGAAGGTGGCTCAAAAGAAGGAGACAGGGGCAGTTGGGGACAAGGGCAAGCCAGCCAAGAAGACAAAAGTCAAGGAGGGTGGCAAAAAGCTTGGGGTAGCGGATGCAGCCAAGGCAAAGAAGGACAAGAAAGCCGATGAAAATGGGGCTAAGGCCGTTAAGAAGCCTGCCAAGAAGGACGGCCACAAGGTGGGGGTCTCGACAGATGAGGATGCAGCGTTGGCGCTGCCCGCAGTGATTGCAACTCCTGCCAAAGCGGTGCAGGCATTGGGGGGCCTGCCGCTAGCAGAGGAGAGCAAGGGTCCTGCCAAGAGTGAGGGCACGGAAGCAGGAGGGGCTGGGGGGGCCAGCAAGAAGGCGGGGAAGAAGACGCTGCTGGCGGACAAGGTGCAGCGGGCGCTGCAGGTGAGCAAGGACAGGGAGGATGCGCAGGCCGCCGCCAAGCGGGAAGCAGACGCCAAGCGGGCCAGCAAGAAGGGCGAGGGCAAGAAGCGGAAGAAGGAGGGGGACGTTAGCGTGGGTCCAGGGGAAGGGTCACGCGCGGCGCGGACGGAGGTGGCAGGGAGCATCCTGTCGGCCACAGTGTCGGGGGTGCCCATTGGGCTGCTGAATGCGGAGGTGAGCAACGCGCGCACGCTGGGCAGCAGGCCCGAGTCCAAGAAGCGGGCGCGCGCAGAGGAGGATAGCGGCACTGAGACAGAGGAGACGGCGCCCGCCAAGAAGGTGAAGCGGGAGGCGGGCGAGGAGGGGGCCGACGACACGCGCTCCGCCAAGCCGCGCAAACCGCGCGCAACAGACCACGAGCGGCTAGAGTCCGCAATTGCGGAGCTGGCCAGCAGCGTGGCGGAGCTGTGCCCCCCCGTCAGCGGCGAAGAGGTGGATGGCGATGGGGCAGGCGACGAGGGCGACGAGGGGAGCAAGAAGAGGCGGCTGCCGGGGCCCACCCAGGCGGCGCTGTCCAAGGTGGCCCGAGTGGCAGGCATGAGGAAGGTGAGTGAGCGCGAGGGGGCTCAAAATTGCAGGCCCAACGCAGGTGCGTGGGGTCGGTGGCACTTTGTCACCTGTGAGCAGACGCGAGTGGAGCACAAACTCCTCCGACTTCCCCAGATTTTCTTGGTTCCCTTGGACTGGCTCGCTAGCCTGGTACGTCGGAGAATCAGGGTCGTTTCAGCTCGTACGCAGCGTTGCCTCGCTCACAAACCTCAGCCTGACTTCCTTCTCGGGTGCATGTATTGCGTGCAGGGCCTGATTCCCGCTGAGCTGTTTCCGCGATTGCTGCCCATCGTGGGGCACGTGCTCAAGGATAACAGCCTCAAGGTCAACCTGAAGCGGGCGCTTGCGAAAGCCTTGGAGACCAAGAAAGGGGGGGCGACGACTCCCAAGAAAGACACCTCCAGGAAGTCAAACGGCGGGACGCCAAGGAAGAAAGAGGAGGGGGCCAAGAAGCGAGGGCAGCCGCGCGAGAGTGCGGAAGAGCCAGGCGCGGCCAGCCCGGCAGGGCACCACGTGGGTAGCCGGCACGCCCTGGCGGGGGAGAATGGGGCGCCGCCCACTGATGCACAGTGCGCCCAGCGCATGGCTGAGGCGCGGGCAGCCCTGGAGGAGCTGATCAGCGCGCGCATGGAGGCGGCCACCGAGGCGCAGCGGGGCGGTGAAGCGGGTCCGAGTGGTAGTGGCAGCGGCGAGCCTATGGAAGCGGGCTTCGCGTGGGACCACCCGACAGAAAACGCGCTGCTGGCAGTGTCGCGCGTGTCGCGGGAGGGAGCGGGCGAACAAAACGGGCAGGTGGCACGCCAGCTGTACAAGGACCTCGCACAGCTCTGGCCGCCAGGCTGCATGGTGAGCGGGCCGCAAACTGTTGCGTACTCCAGGGACGGAACAGCAGGACGTGGCTGGTAGCGGGGCTGTTCTGCACTTTCAAACAACTCTACTGCATCAATCATTGAGTGGCTGTGCCAGGTTGCTGCCCGTGTGCTCTGCCCCGCTTCCCGTTTCTTGGTGTGTGTACTGATCCTGGCGGGGTGGCGTGCTGTGCGCAGGACGTGGCAGGTTTGCAGAAGGCCATCCGGCGTGCCAAGGCGCGCGCGGATAGGAAGGGCGGCGACGAAGCGGTGGGGGCCAGCGCAGAGAAGCAGGGACAGGAGGAGGCGCCGAAGGGGGGAAAGAAGCGGAAAGCGAAAGCGGCGGGGACGGAAGGAGGAAAAGCGGGCCAAGCGCAGGACAAAGGGGGCGGAGACAGCCCGGCGAAAGGACCCGCGGGAGAGAGGCCAGGCCCGACAGCCGCGGCTGAGGGCCAGGGCGAGCCGCGGCCTGTAGCGGAGGCCGAGGCGGCGCACTCATTACCCAGCGTGTTCAAGCAATTCCAAGGAAGCCCGCAGGCGCTGCCCTCAGTAGTGCAGTCATAACGGCGTGCTGCCTCCTCTTTCTGCTAGATAGTACTAGTCGATCGGGCTTGCATCGGGGCAGGCAAGTCCCAGGCTGTAGCCGACCAAATACATTTGGTTAAGGTGATATGCGCGGTCCCTACAGCAGCGGCCCAACGCCATTTGGCAACTGTAGGATCGCTCCCTCAGCAAAGAGCATTGTCATTTCAAGGGTCAGCTTGCTTCTGCTTCTGATGGCCGAAACATCACCGCTGCTCTCTGTACTCATTAAACAGCCTCCAATGCATGTTGCGCCCTGGCATATGTGTCACGTTCTGTAAGGTGTCAGCCAATGCCATGCATGCTAGGTTGTCAGTCTTACGATGCATTCTCTTCCTTCAATTATTACGTGGCGCGGAGGCGCGGAGGCTGAGGTACGTCGCTAGACGTCTCGAATTTTCGGTCACGTGCGTATTGCGCGGTAAGGCACGCGTCCAGGCCGGCCGGCTGCCATGTGCGGGGGTCGAAAATTTTGAACGCACGCGATGATGGATTCAATATATATTGAATATGCAAATGCTCATAGCGCTGGCCGGCATGCACGACTGACGCACAGGTACTATTGAATGGCTTGCCTAGCTCTAGAGAGCCAAAAACGCTGACTCTTGTGGAGCGCGGACGTTTTCAATCGGATACTTAAACGGTATTGTACTATACTATATAGCTGCATGCAATATACTAGGTGTGCGCCCGCGGCCGGCCCGGCAGAGCTATTTAATATAACTTACACTAAACTGAGAATGATAGATCGCCGCGTATAAGCTACAGCTATAGAGTATACAGATCGATGCATATACCTGATCATGCATTTGCATATAATGATGCGCGCGCCTCGCGCGTGGTGCAGCTTAGTAGGCGCCATGCTTTACTATAAGTTGAATCCATCATTATCGTTCCCGGGCATGCATGAATTACCGTTTAGACTTTTAGCAGCGGCCGCAGCGCGCATGCAGCATCGATGCTGTAAGCGGATCCACACGACCAATATGATGTACTGACGCAGCTCAATAAGTTCTGGCGTGCAGCAACCCGGCGCTCGAATTGGCGCATGGCGCCAACAAGCACATCGGCGATCACAGCACAGCGCCGTGGCATGGTGCCGCGGCTAGCTACAGGCTAGCAGGCCGCCACGGCGCAATTGATGTAGTCGCATTGGCACGTGGCAACAGTCGAAGTAATGTTCGATAATTATTATCATTGGACATGTCGACAGTAGTATAAGTAGAGCTACTAGATAAGCATGTCTCTCGCATGACCAGGATT